AACAAAAATCTTGTCCAGTGGTTAATAAACAAGTAAGGTGTAAAACATTATGATTCCCCCCCCCCTTCTTTCAAGGTTCAAAATCTATATGATGGATGTAAAACCCCAGGGGCCAATTTAAAAATTTGGCAAACTGGGGGACTTAAAAAAAAAAATCTGAGGATCCGATCGTCTGAACGTTACAGACGTTCGATCTGCCAAATTAAAGCAGTAGATTCAGATTAATTTGGAAGTTTTAAATCAAAAGTTATATAAGAGCCGTCGGTGATGAAAAACAACACGAAACCCCAAATTGTTCTGCAATTTGAAGCTCGAAAATCCCAAAATCTTGAAAAGTATGTTGGCCGACTATTTCATCTAATCCACCGTGGTTTGCCTTAGAACAGTCGAAAGCTGAAGCTGGGGTTCGATTAAACCAATCCGTTGTCGGCATCCAAGTGTTCCGAGCTACGTCCAACAAGCTGTTCCAGATTGAAGCTGAAGATCCAGGTATATTTCTCGGTTCATTTGTAGTTGCAGGAAGCCGGTTGAAGAGAAGCAACCTGGCTATATACGAGTCGCCCGACTTGAAGATCGGGCTGGGTTTGATTTTCGGTTTTGGGCCAGCCATAAGCTTGGGCCTGAAAATAGTTAAAAGGGGTTTGGGCTGTGGCCAGCGGGCCAAGCCAGCTCAGGAAAAAAATTAGATATAAATAGAAAACAGAAAAGATTTAAAACAGAAAATACAGAAAAGACTAAACCGGCCGTTCAAGCCCTTCCCGACCGGTTCTTGGCCGGTTCAAGGCACCTAAATGTAGCTAATTAAATTACCTACGTGATTGTGGCCGTTCAAGCTAAACCGGCCGTTCAATGGTGAACCAGCCGTCCAATTAAATAAATTAATAGAAAATTAGAAAACCACCGATGTAATCTATTTAAGGCCGGTTCAGGGCAAAGACTAACCGGTTCAGTGATTCTAAGTCCGGTTCATTGACTTTTGTGTTGGTTCTATACATTTTAAGACCGGTTCAATCGTTTAAAACCGTTCAAAGGGTTTTATGCAAAATTAAGGGAATTAAGGCCGGTTCATTGTTTTGAGACTGGTTTAATGGGTTTCACTCTCGGTTCTGTGGGTTTTCTTACTGTTCATTAAATATTGTGCTCGGTACAATGTGTAGAAGATTCGGTTCATAGAATTTGATCAGTTCGGACTTTAAAATTCCTGAATTGACTTTAAACATAAAAAATTAAGAAGAGGGTTGGATTTTTAAGAATAATCTAGTTTTTAATCAACTTCGAGAAATATTATGTTCTAAAATAAATATTTTTATTATTTTAGATTAATTGTTGAATTTCGGGGAGCCAAACCGCCGAAGCTCGATTTGCGTGATTCTCGATTTCTGTGAGTAATATTATATATTTATATGTTTAAAATGCTGTTTTACTTATTTAAATTTCATGTTTTTACATAATTGAAAATTTAATTTCAATTATTATCCAGTGGAACATAAATTGTTAGAAAAGTTACGAGGGACGTATATGTCATTTTCTAATTTGTTAAAAAACTTCTGAATTTCTGATTTCAAGTACTACACATGTTTAAGACTTTGAAAATTTGAAACTTTCTCTGATAAACTCTGATAAATAATTTTAAGGGAGTATCGTACTGTTAGAACACTGTAACTAACGGCAGTAGGCGTTAGACTGGATGCATCCTAACTTGTATCCCCAGCTAGCAGGGGTGGTGCTAGACTATCATATGTGGCTGACGTGGTAGGCCTGTTTATTGATTACCGGCAGACTTGAGTCGCCGTCCTGATATCTGTATATCGGCATACCATGAGTTGCGTTCTGTTTCTGTTTAGTTCTCGATGTCGAATTCCCTAACTGGTAAAAGTGTGAAAACTGTATATTTTTATGCTAAAATACCTGATATATGTCGCTCGTCATATAATATGTACTATTATTCATTGGATTAATAGACTCATTATTTTATTTTTTCTAGACTTAGGTTCGACTCTGCCGATAGATCCTGCATTGTGAGAGGAGTCGATCAATCCTATTTTTTGCTTCGTTCTCAAGCTTAGCAGTTAGTCTTTATTTTTCTTTTGGTGTGTATTTTATAGCTTAGTGATCACAGACAGGGTTTTCAATAAGTGTATTGTATTTTCGATAGTTTTGTATCAAACTTTGAATTCTGTATTAAGTTAAGTTTTTATTTCATCCTGTTAACTAATCTGATCATTGAGCTTGCGGGGTTGGGTTTATCCTAACTTTTGCGCCGTCACGGACTCGACGACCGGGTCGTGACAATGGACCACGAGAAATGGATGGCAACCAACTTGCTTGATGCAAATTGTATTAAATTGGAGGCTAATTGGACATGCAAATTGGAGAACACCATATTTCTTTTATAAAACAGGTTGCTGGTACTCTTATTAAAGTCATTCTATTTAAATGTTTTTATAATATCGCAACAAGCTCACAGTTCTCCATCGACATGTATGCTTGAGAATGATAGAATAGAAAACACAAACAATTAGAAACAATTACTTTGTAGTTAGATGATAGTTAGTTTCAGTTTACTGCATACAGGTGTATAGTTATATATGGCTGTAACAAATTTGTTTCCTTCTCTATAAATAGAGGGGATTTGTGCATGATCAATATACAATACAATTCTCATTCCTTAATCTAGTTTCTCTCAGAAACTAAAAGAACTTAAACATTTTTGGGGACGACTTCTATAGATTGATGTTGCCAAGAAAATTATTGACATGGATGTAGGCCTGTGAATTGACTTAATCTCATTAGACCTCTAAATTAAGGTTCGGAACTAGGGGACAGAGAGGTGGATTCCTCTAGAGGAGAAATGGGTGAAGTCAAACACAAATGGTTCATCCAAATCAAGCAGCGAGAAAGCAAGTTATGGAGGTTGCTCAAAGACCGCAAGGGAAATTGGCTTGAGACATGGGATATGGAAAAATTGAGTTGGAATTGGATTTTAAAGTAGTGGTCAAGATGATCATTAGTAGATACATAGTAGTCACTAGGCATGACAATATCCCTATCACTTTGAGAATTGAGTCCCTGCTGAATGACAATGACAAGTGAAATCAAATATATTTTTAGAAAAAGTAATACTTGTGTAAATCTCTAATACGAATCTCACCCACAAGCCAAGATTAACAGATTGGGCATTCCCACACAATCAGTTAAGATGCCTTCGCTCTGAGAAGTTACAAGCAATTCAGTGTGGTCTTTTCCTTCTTTTGAGTTTTAGTACCTGCTGCAACTCAAAAAAAAATAATTTTGAATTTAAAAAAAACAATTGTGCAAAATATCTTCTTGCATCAAATTATTTTCTCAACTTTTCAAAATTAGTAGAAATTATTATAATTTTCATAATTTTTATAGAGTAGCAATTCTAATAATTTAGTATAATATGCTAGCATTGTTTTTCAATTATATAATTTTTAAGTTAGTGGATTAATTCTTAAATTACTAACTGAATCCATACATACTATTATCACAATACTAAAGTTACTAAGCTTATTACAATGAATAAGTGAATTAGATAATTTATTTGGAAGACAAAATATAATATATCAAAAAATGCAAATAAAAAAGTCCAAGACAAAAATTTTAAAATCCATACTTTTTCTTTTAATATATATATAATATATATATAGAACATAGTATATATATATTACTTATTTGTTTGGGTCAAGTAATTTAAATAAAAGGAAGATTTATAGTGGTTTATTCCAATGAAAATCTCAAACAATAAAAATATTACCTTTTATATCTCTTTTTTCATCAGGTTTTACCAAAATAAACGAGCATTATGGAAAAAAAAATAAAAAAAACACTCCAAACGTCTTCTAAACACTAATATTGTGAACATATATTGCTATATTTACCCCTAAACTCTCCAATTTTAAATATTAAAATTTTAAATATTATTATTAAAATAGTTAATTATTGAAATTTTAAAAATTTCAATTAATAATTGTAATTGATAATAAATATTATTAAATATATTTAATTTTAAACATTAAATTAAAATATAATTAATTTTGCAAAATTAATTTAGAATATTTGAACAGTCTAACTAAATAAAAAGTTACCAATTATAAATAAATAATTCGAAACCTAACTATTCATATTTTTTATTTGCTACATAATAGCATCCAAAAACTAAATTTTTGTCATACATAAATAAAAAATAAATATTATAATAAGAACATAAGAATTTATAACCAAGTTGATTAAACATGTTTAGATTTTAAATTATCACTTTTAAATAATTTCTATTAAATTCAAGTTGTTTATTCACAATTGTCAACTTTTTATGTAATTATAAATTACATAAATAGTTTAAATTAATTTTATAAAATTTAATTATATTTTAATTTAATATATAAAATTAAATATTTTCAATAATATTTATTATCAATTATTATATATTAATTTAAAATTTTAAAATTTTAACAATTAATCATTTTAATAGTAAACATTCAATATTTAAGATTGTTTATAAAATAAATATAACGACAAAATAATGGTATTAATATTCTAAAAGAATAAATAATATATTGTAAAAATTCAAGAAGGTAAATGAGATGAAGATAAGAGTTCAAAAAAGCAAATTTATTTTTGTCCCACAATTTTATAATACTAAAATTATTCAACTAAACATACAAAACAATAAATAAATGACAATCATAGCGTTAACACTCCAATTCCTCCGATTCTAAGCAATCTCTATTTAGTGAAAGAAACTACTATTCTTTCCTCGTACTTTTTTCCATTTCTGGATTTCCTTAGTGTAAAAACACTTTGAAATTTGGACATAAGTGAAAAATTATAAAGATGTGAAGGCAAAGACTAAAATTTGGTGGGGGCAACTGTTATAGTTATGCATATGTAGTCCTTAATATTCAAATTTCAGGGTACAGTACATTCTAGTTATGCATAAGTCGTCTTTAATATTCAACTTGACAAGGTCAGATGAATATTTAGAACTGAGACTTGTCCAGACTGTCAAAGAAAGGGTGATCCAAAGCTTCTTTGGCTGAAATCCTCTCGGCTGGATCATACTTCAGCATTTTCTGCATTTGACAAACACCAGGGTACAATTATTAGATCTTGAAAATATCAGCGTAACAAGATGCATGATTCCAACAGATTACTTATACTAAGGCCTACAAGGCTTGAAGCTACAAAAGCCCTAGTGTTTGGGCTCCTTGATTTTAAAAGCTAAATGTGTAAGCCAAAAAAATGACAAGCGACCAACCTAGACAGGCAATCAAACAAAACAGTAAACCATGATACAGCCCTCACCCCCAAAGTCAAAACCTACCTGTCATGGATTAGCTAGCAATGCCACCAAATTAGTGTAAATTTTTCATCTCAAGGAACGTTTGTGGTAAGAGAACTAACATGAAATGGCAATAGAATCAATCATTACAAATGTTTCCCCTAAAGCATCCAATAAAAAACAGCTGTAATAGGGACAACAATTCCCAGTACAAATAATTACCGATAAAAGATCAAGACCATCAGGTCCCAGCGATGGAACAGCACGTTGCAGATTCTGAGGCTCCCACTGAGGATACACATGCCAGTCCCTCAGAGAACCAACTCCTGGCCACATCTTCTCAGTTGGTTTCCCAGCAATCTACAATAGCGAAAGCCCATCAAATGGAAATCACAATAATAATCAGAAAGATTACAAGTGCAACTATAGCCAATGCTATTACAATGAGAGCTGTACTAAGGGGGAAAGGTGCAAGAGATTATTTTAAAAAATCAGTTATTTCTATTTCACATTTCATAGCAACGTTTAAAAAATCAGTTGAAGTCATTTCTACTTCACATTTCATAGCAACTTAAATTGCAAGTTAGGCATTTAAGTTATTTTTTCAGACTCAGTACAGGACCTGTCCAACACTCCAAAAAGAACTCTTGAAACACTGCAAGTCATAAAACAGGGAAAATAGGCAGAAGAAATTAACTAGCAATGACACAAATACAAAGTGAAAAGGCACAAGACGAGTATTAGATATTGAGAAAACTTAACATTTAAAATGAACAATTGAACCTTATTTACACAATGAAATCCTCAATGTTATTCAGCAAATTACAAAGATGAAGCATTTATACAATTGATATGTATTATTCTGATCAAATATTTCCCTTCTGAAATCATATCTGTTTTAGTATTTTCTTTGTTCATTTGCCAATGGAGCGTAATATTTATGCCCTTTTTCATATTCTGTGCTGTTTTGAAGCATAAGAAATGCATGAAACCACAAGAAAATGAAATTGGGGACTTAAATTTTAATACAGGCTTTACAATTGATCCTGACTATCCAAAAAACAGCTTGAAACTGTTGTAACAGCCTGAGTCTGGATTCTATGATACCTAGAGAAGTGCTATTGCTAAAGAAAGAGAGGCTTGGTTACTCTTTTTTTTACATTGATGATCCAATTTTTTCTGTCATTCTAAAAGTAGGCTAGTGTTCAACTCAACAAGGTTTATCCACTTAATTGGCATTTTATACAAAGATAATCTTTTGAGAAGAAACAATTCCTTAACACTGACCCATTCCCCACCCCATAAATATACTTTATTACCAGGATTATGCATGTCCCTTGGCCAGAAAACTTCCCACCGAGCAAGCACAATGTCTACTCTTGTCTGTTTTTCTTTTTCCTTTATTTTTTTGGAAGAAGTATACATTCTCATATGAAGATATTTCCCAAACAATTCTCCAATAATCATGAGTATTTCATAAAACATATTTAAGATATTCCCCCAGATGAATGGACCCCCTCATATGGCAAAAGAAGCAACTTGGAAGTAGAACAAATTGCTTCTAGATTATAGGCCAAAATCCCTGATGACTGAAATATCGGCAATACCATCCAAAAAAGAAAATAGCCATTTGTCTGAGTCACCTGCCTAGGATTAATACACGAGATGTAGCCAAGCTATGTTTTAAAAAATATACCTGAAAATATGAAGCAGCTGCTGAAACTCAGAGTCCCCAGGAAACAGAGCTTGTCTCCTTACCATTTCAGCTGCAAATAGTAATTTAGAGGAAGATGATTGGACTTAATGACAATGGATATGAGAAGGAAAACAAGGGAAATAATATCAAATGCTAAAAAAGGAAACCATGAAAACAGCAGTTTGGAACGTTTATCATTCTAACAACGAACAGATCATGGTTACCTAAAAGTTTCCTGGAAAATAAACTGGTATCCTTGAGCTTACCCTTCGCTTCCAAAGCAAGTGGATTGTTATAACTAGCCCAGATCCAATTGTGATATTAATCACAGTAGGGTTACATGAAAGATCATCTTTGAGTTTGTATCATTTTATGGTACCAGAAAAATAGATTTTGATTTCTCAGAAATTTCATAAATCTAGAAAGCCTTAATGACCAATTTTCACATGAATTGATAAGGATCCAATAACTCCAACATTGATTCCTTCAGATGTATCAATTTTGCAAGAGGACTGATTGTCTATCATTTCAAAATGCATGGAATCAGGATGCACATCCTAAAACAGATGCGATGTACATTAGGGGTATAAGGTTCTTTGTCGCTAACAGATTTTTTTTTTTTATATAACTGACTATTAATAATAGTCCATTTGATGCTAGGTGCTGCCCCACTGGGCAGCACCGAGCAGACCAATGAAAAAGAGCCACGTGTGCAGTTTCTTTTATTTTATTTTTTTACTTTCTATTTTATATTTTAATCAAACAAAGAAAAAATTGTAGATATAACATCAAATATTAATTATTTTATAAATAATTAAAATAAATTTATTCCATCCTTTGTATTTTTTATTAAAAATACAAAAGTTAATATCAAAAAAGTTGCACACACACGACTGTTTCCTATTGGTCTGCTGGGTGCTGCCCCACTAGAGCAGCACCTAGCGTCAAATGAACCTTAATAATAACAAACTTCTGTCTTCTGTAACAGTAAAGTATCTAATAACTTGAAAGCTAAAAATAGAATTAGTAAGACGTTTGTGAGGGGAAACTAGGGCCAAAACTTAAAAATTTAAAAAAACGAATCCAGTGCTGGACAGCAATTCTAAACAAACTGAATTACAAACCATAAACAGCATAAAGATATGAAGATGAATGGTTTACCAAAAATACAACCCACAGACCACATATCTACAGCGGTGGAGTAATGAGTTGACCCTAACAAAACTTCAGGAGCTCTGTACCAGAGAGTTACAATCTGCAGGAGCAGAAGAATTAATTGACAAGAGCATGTGCTCACTAACTGGGAGCAAGTATGCAAGAAATGTCAAACTGAAGCTCACTAAGTGGGAATTAACTATTGTCATCAACAGGAAGACAGACCTCGTGGGTGTAGCTCTTGAGGGGAACGGTGAAGGCCCTTCCAAGTCCAAGATCTGCAATCTTCAGTATGCCCTTCTCCTTGTCCACTAGAAGGTTCTGTGGCTTGAGATCCCTGTAATTCGGAAACTAAATTATTCAATTTTATCAAAGGATTCCCCCCCCCCCCCCCAACAAAAAAAAAAGTAGAATAAGAAAACCCTTTAAAGGAGAAAATGATTTCTGGAAAACCTATGAAGGACACCGTGGCCATGGCAATGAGCAACGCCTTTGCACAACTGGTAGAGAAAGCTCCGGATTAATGTCGTGTCAAGAGGCCTAGGGTTAGGGCCCTTGCGATGCGAATCGATAAACTTCTTGAGATCTGTCTCGAGGTACTCGAAGACGAGATAGAGAAGGGGCTTTCCATGCTTGTTCTCGACGTGCTCAACGCAGAGGAGTCTGACTACGTAAAGAGAGTGAGAGAGCATCTGGAGAAGAGAAACCTCCCTCAGAGCTGTCGGCGGGACACCTTCTTCGTCCATCTCCAGTCTGGTCTTCTTCAGTGCCACCAGCTGTCCTGTCTCCTTGTCCTTGGCCTTGTATACCTTCCCGTATGTTCCTTCCCCTACCTTCTCCAACTTCTCGTACTTCTCCATCTTTCTTCTTCTCTATGGCGAAACTAATACACTACAACGAAAATTTATGATGAAAAAGAGAGTAGATGAGAGAAACGAGATTGAAAATGAAGATGAATTAGGGGAATGGGATGTAGGAAAGACAGACCTGAATGTGGAAGATTAGTGATCTGCGAGATGCAGGCAACCCAACGGTTCGTAAAGTTGGAGATTTCAATTTCGAAATTGGTCTGGACTCTGAAGAAGGAAAAAATGCGACGGAGAGCGTCTCTCCACCCGTTGTGCACGTGTTTCCCTCCCTCACTCTCCCAATTTGAAAATTTTGAATTCCTCTCTCTCTCGCTCTGCTTTTCCGTTCCTTTTCGCTTTAATATTTTTCTTCTCTCTTTTGCATCATAAATAAGAAAACCAATTAAAATGTTTATATGGATGCTATCAGATCAAGGTTTTTTTTTATTATTTTAATTAATAAATCAAAATTTTTCTAATTATCACATAAGTTAATATTGATTAAGAATTCAAAAAATAAAAAAAAACCCCTGAACTATCACCCTCCCTGTATACACTTCCTAAACTTATATATTATTATTCCTCCGATGCAAGAAGAATTACCCTTAAAAACAAATAAAAAGATCCTAACTAATGACAAGAGTCTCAAAATATCTAATTTTAAAAGAGTTTTTTAAGTCTAAGAAAAGAAAACTCATTCTTTTAGATCTAACTCAAATAAAATACTATTTTTAACAAGAAAATTAGCACAATTATAAATCCGCATCTAATATGAATGATTTACACTTATTATTGGAGATGAAATAAATTCTTAATTATTGCTGAAATAGGAGAAAATGCTAGTGAGCCCCTATCATTAGATTGGAGTTTCACCGATGTTCCAAGTAAAACCTCTAATCCATCTCCGTCACAGTCCTTGATAAAACCTTAACATCTTACTAGTGCTGGGTTTATAAACACCATCCATGTTGAGCCCAACTCAGCCATCCCTAGGAGGGCTCTATCCATCCAAAGAACTACTAGCACATCTATTCCTGAGACTAGAGTTTTCACTACTATCATAAAGCTGACAAATTAGCATCCACCAATCAATAATGCCTCTATACTTTGATCGTTTTTGAAAATCTCATTTAAAGATGCGTTTTTCCTTCAATTTTCATATAAGCCAAGTTATGATCCCCCACTCATAGGCCCTAGTCCTTGACGAGAATGTCCCACAAAGCCCCTAAAACATTAAACCCTATTCAAGCCTTGAAATGGTGCACAAAGAAATTTAGTTATGTGATTTTAGAAATCAGACTTTTCCAAACCTTTATTGTCATTGGATAGACTTTGAGAACATGAAACACGAACTCTGTCAAATGGTCACATTCCTTTTAAAGTATCAAATTTATTTCAATAACTTTGATTCCATTGAATTAGTTGGATTAGATATTAAATGTGCATAATCAAAATTTGTAATGCCCATGGTGAAGGCCATTAGCCATACACCCAAAGCCATAATTGCTACACTTAAGTTGTTAACTAGTCAAGTTTGGATGAACGTAAGTAAATTTGAATTCAAATCCAATTAATCATTCATATATTCAAATCTGATCCAAAATTTTATAAGATTTATATTTATTAGACTATATCTGATTCTAATGCATAATTTGAAATCTAATAAAAAATTCCGATCTAACAAAAAATAATATTTTTGTACACTTAAATCCCTTTACTGTATTTCATCAATCATATTAGTTCTTAATTTTTTTAATTTTCTCAATTTAGTCCCTCTAACTTTGAATTTATTAATATTTATATAATTATTAATTTAATTAAAAATATTATTAAAAATTGAATTTTGATCCTTAATGAATTGAATTACTTAATTTTATATCTGATCTGCTTATTTTAGATTACGGATATTTATTATTAAATTTGATTCATCAAATATGTTAATCAAATTCGAATATTAATTGTCAAATTGAATTTCAAATAAAATTTAACTCATTAACAATTCTAATTAAGCTAGTCAATGTTGCCTTACCCTAAGCCTTAGCCCTTCTAGATAGTCCAGAGCTTACTTTAAAGGAGTCTTCCATTAATTTTGTGCTTCAAACTATTGACTTTTATAGCTCCTCCCCCACGGAGAATCTTCCTACTACTCGCCCAGCCATGCAGATGAGCGCTAGCCACCGCCATCTTCCAACCTTCCACCGTGTAGATTCGACCACCATTATTGTAGCACACAACATCTACCACCCTCCGCCCCTAGTTATATGTTTGAAGGTAAGATTCTACTCGTAATTTTTATTTATGTTGTTGACTACTCATGGTGACGCTTAAAATGACTTGCACACGTTATAAATTATAATGAGTCTGTCTAATTTGCTCTCATAGAAGAAAGGGTCTGAAAGATTAGTTAATAACTAATTATATTTTAGTTATTTCAATGAATGCATATTTGGTTCTAATATAATTCAATTTAACTTGTGAGAAGGTTGATAATCAACACAACGAAAGTTACGGAGAGATTAATTAACAGCAAAAACTATTTGACCACAACTAAAAAGTCTAATGATGGAGAGAGTTGGGAGTTTTGAAATAAATAGCATACCAAAGTTATGGATAGATTGATTAATAACAAAAAAAATATTTGATCACAAAAATTAAAAAATTTAAAGAGAGAAGACGAAGAGATTGAGATAGTTTGAGAGTTTTGAAATAAACAGAGTACAAAAGGTCGAAATAAATGAGAGATGAGCTTGTATGATTTTATATATATGGCTATCATTTTTAAATAATTTTTAAATTTATAATTAGAAAAATCAAATTGAATTCAGCGAGTAACTTTTATGGGAAATTGAACTGAATTGAAACCTTTTTAAATTCTTAGTGAGTTTGGCTACTTTTTGTTGATTTTACCAATTTATGTTCATCAATTTCTTCATCATATTTGTAATCTAGACGTTAAAATCTATTTAAATCACCCAATTATTCTTTTTTTCCTTATTTTTTTTAAAGTAAAAATGAAGCACCTAATAATCAAATGCCAATAAACATATCATCCTTCTCCTCGTCATGATCGGCGTCATAATAATAATAATAATAATAATAATAAGATCCATATACCAACTTTATATATATATATATATATTATGGTGAATAATGACAGTTAACCTTAGACAACTTCCTCTACTTTTTATATTTTGGTGGATTAGTGCATAACAACAAATATATGTTTAGTTATTATTTTTCATAATAAACACTTCTATCCAAATAAATAACTGAATTATGATTTGGGCATTAATGCTTTAGATTATCTTAAATGTTTATCATCATTCATCCGAAACCCTCTTATGAGGTTGATCCAACAATTTAGAAGAGGCACAAGACCGCTTATAGGTAAAACTAGTTAGTTTCCTTTTCTAATCCACTTATGGGTCTGTTCGTCTGTTCTTTTAATGGAATTAACTTTCAAGTAGAAATTTAATTTTTAAAAATTATTTTTTCATGTTAAATTAAATAATATAAAAAAATAGAAATTTTTAAAATTTACTTTTTTTTAATGAATGAATTAACTTATAAATATTTTTTGATTATAATGAATAATTTAATTTTTTATGATGCAAAATTTATTTTATTTTTTTATAAAATATTTTATATAATATATATAATTTAATTTTAATATTTTAAATTAATATTATTTAATAACAAGTGGATAAAAATTATTAATTAATTTTAATTAAATAGAATATGTGTTTTTTAATTATAAAAGTACGATTAAATGCCATTTAAGTAAACATGTGAGGAGAAGCATACTTATTATTTATCTAATAGTTTGGAAACAAACTCCCCCTAGGGTGTATCGGTACTTGTGATTGTCAGCTTGACATCCATGAACCCACCTCAGTTCCTTGGACTCCAAAATGGCACCCGTTGTGTTTTGTTGGAGGTTATAATGGGGTCTGGGATTGGGGTTCAATGATTTCTCTTTCATTTGCAATCACTCTTTCGCCTTCTTGTTGTTTTTGTTTGAAGGCGTTGTCAACGTGGAGCTCTTTTGACTGTTGTTCGTTGTGGTAGTGTGGAGTTGATCACCTGCAGCATGATATTCGATGATGTTAGTATACACTTGATGGTACTTGGTTTTCAATATTGAAAATTATACTCACACTTACATTTTTAATATTTATCGAGTTTGAAATTCGAGCTTGAACTTAGTTTGGCAAATTTATATTAATATTTAATAAATTTTTAATCAAATCTTCTTTAAAAATTGGATTATGAGAACCTAATTTTGGGTTGGATCTATAATTGTGGACAAGGCACAAGCAAAATTGTGCCCACTGGTTGTAGTTGGAGGGGGAAAAAGACAGAGGGAGGGAGAAGGAAAAGGTCGTGGGTCGACCACGAGTTGCAGCCGTGGCATCGCCACCTGTGCCTAGGCCAACCACGGGCATCACCATTATTGCCTGGCCGGTCACAACCAATACTGCCATGATTGTAGCTTGTGCTTGGCCACCTGCTTCTTCCGTCAGCCCTTCTCTTCCTTCCTTCTTCTCCCTCTTTTTTCCTTCATTCTCCTCTCTTCATTCAATCTCCCTCTTCCTATCTTCTCCTTTCCTCTCCCTTCATTGTTTCCCTTCGCCTATCTAGAAAATCGAGTCCTCATGACTTGATTAGCCTTGGCTACAGCTAGCAATGTCATGGCTGTAGCCCATGGTTGCCCACCAACCTCTTTCTTCCTTCTCCCTCCATCTTCTTTCCTTCCTCATCTCTCTTCTTTCTTTTTTTCCCCTCCAATTACAACTTTACTAGTACCTAGTCTATAATCAAGTACTCAAGACCCAATTTATTTCCAGAAATTAGGTCCTTATGACCCAATTTCTTAATGGAAATAATAAAACATCTATTTAGAAAATAGTGTTTCAAAAACCTATGTTGATAAAAAAAATCTGTAATGCTCGGTTGAAAAAAAAAAAGGCAGATTTTCCCCAAGTCACTCTCTCTCTTCTTTTCTGGTTTTCTCTCCCACCCCCAGTTTTCCCCTTTTCTTTTTTTCATTATTCTCTCTCTCTCTCTCTCTCTCTCTCTTCTTTCTTAGGTTTCCTTCTCTGCAAAACTCCAGCCGTCCAAGAACTTGCTCTAGCGACTAGCACTGCCCGAACCAACAAAAGCTGGTCGACCGAGCCACTCTTGCAAGCTATTCTACTCTGTCTGAGGCCGACACCGCCTGCAGTGTCGCCCAAAGCCAACATTGCTTGTGGCGTTGCCCAAAACCTGAACCGGCTACTCGAACCAATGACTTGATTCCGGCTGTCGAAGCCAATCGAACTCACGCACCAGGGTCCATCTGAACCCGGCACAGCAAAACTGTCCAAACCCAGTAGAACCATCAAACCTAGCACACCCGAGCCCTTGAACCAGTGCTGCCGCCTGAGCCCCACTCCAACACTGCCCAAACCTCATATCGCCCAGACCCGGCGCCGTTTGGACCCAACACCGCTCGAATCCAACACCGCCCGAAGTCGAGCCGCCTGCGTAATGTCCACTTGAACACAGTCTGCCTAAGTCATCTGAACTGCCTGAAATCTGTACGCTTGAAACTAGTTTGTCATCCGCCGCCCGAAAACTGGTCTCTCGTATCCTGCTCAAAAAATCACCTGCGCGAGCGACTCGGAAAACAGTTCCAACCATCGAGGAACTGAGCCGCTTGCGTCGTGCACCCCTCATAATCGACCCACTACAGCAACCAGAAAACCAATCTGTGTCGGGCTGCTTGTATTTGACCTGCCTAATCTGCTCGAAGCAGACCCACTCCAGCCCACTGTGGAACTCGACTAGCTACGCACCACTCAAAGCCAACTTGTCTATGTTGTTCGAACTAGTACTATCTAGGCCACCTAAACCAGTCCGCCTGAGGCTAGCCCAAAACCAGTGCCACTCGAGCCTGTGTAGCTTAAGCTGCCGGATATGTACCAAGCCACCTGAAGAACTAATCTATGAGGAGCTGGTTCGCTAATATGACTAGTCACCTAAAGGATTACGCATGGGAGTACGGTGAGAAATAATATGTATTTCTATACTACTTTTTTTTAAATGCGTAAACTGTATGTGTGTTTATTATTGTTTGTGTGTTATAATTATATTAACAATGTGATGATTGTACATATATGATTGTGTGAAATTATGAATGAGATAAATGAAAATGATTGCTGTATGCATTGATCACGGCCGATGTAGTTCTGTTGAGAATTGGGTACGCAGGGACAGTAGTAAGTAAGGACGATGGTAAGTAGGGACGGCGGTAAATAGGGCCGGTCGTGTGCTCATGATTTCCGCCCACGATTCCTGTCTGTGATTCTTGCCTATAGTACTTGGGTATGTTTTTGTCTGTTAGGTACTCATGAGTGATTCTTGTGTACTTTCATGACATAATTGTGATCTTACGACAGTGTGCCTATATGCGGTTTATATGTTGTTTGGATGTTGATAATTTGACTATTGATATTGATTCACACGTTGAATTTGGTTGTTCTATACCAAAATAAATTGTTTTCTATATGTTTTTAAAATTTGGATTTGCATATTATGACTCACTGAGCGTTGGCTCATCCCTTTTATTTTCTCCTCCAGGTTTAGTTTTGTCTGCTATTGGAGAAGTTTCTTGATTGGTGAGCCCGTGTTTGATTACGTGCTTGGTCATAGTTAATTTGCCACTATTGTATTGTTTTCAGTGTGGTAATTTATGAGTTAGTGAATTTGTAGAGTTGCTCCATTTGTCTATAGGCAATATCTCGTTTCCTTGCATTCTTAATTAGTGTACTCATTGTATTATTATTGATTTTGTTGTAGTTAGTTGCTAGTTTTTTTTGTAAACATATATGTTGATAATATTAGTTGTAAATAGATGCATAAGTCAGAAACTGTTAGATCTTATTTTCATCAGCTTCTAACTATTCAGAGTCGCTATTAGGATTTATAAATTGTATTTTTCAAAAGTTGAAAATTTGTGATATGTTCTATTTTTAGGAGAGATTCTGCCAAATTTTCTAAAAATTTCATGCTTAGAATCAGTTTGGTCAAACTTTTTGAAGTTGACTAGGGTGGGTAAGTCCACCCTAGCGCCAGTCACGTGCCTCTTATTTTGGGTCGTGACAAAATTATTAATCTTAATATAAATTTGCCATTTAGTTTGAGTTTAGACAACTCAAATTTAACCTGACTGAAGTATTGCTAACCAAAAACTTGACCAAATTATATTTGAGTTTAGAGTCATTTAACATCAAGTTCAAAACTTTTAATAAATTATCTTTATTAAATGCTATTTTTTAAAAAAATTAAAAAATTATTTATTTAAAAATTAGATATGAATATTTAATTATATAAACTTATTTATTAAAATACTTATAAATATTAAATAAACTTGTGAATAATTTTAATTTTATTTTTTTAAGTAAATTCCAAATGTCAGGGGGTTTTCACTGTACCATTAAATCTAATTTATGTACAAAACGATAAGTTCATATTTTAATAAGATTGATGGCGTTGGCTGTCGGCACTAATAAATAATAAAACTAAGTAACAAACGCCTTAAATGTTTAAGGGTGGACAACGAAAACCACTACTAGCTAATCTGCACTTTGATATTTAATAAATATAAAAATTACATATTTATTATCAAATTTAATTAGCTAACAAACTATACTTAATATTTTTTAAATTAAATATTATTTTATTTCAAAAGAATAATTGATTAATATTATTCAATGTACTAAGATATTATTATTTTTATGGAATAAATCTGTTCAAATTTGTGAAAGTGTATATTTGAATAAAATTGTTATCTGATTATAAAACGGATGAAAATATTTATAAAAATTAATTTTAAGGCATAATTGGTGAATTATACATTTACAGATTTTATTTTACAAAATTAATTAATTCAATTTTTGAATAAAATTGGTTGGATCCATGATTTCAAAATTTAAAATTGACCCTGTTACTAATCCAATTTATCCAAATTTTATTCTTTATTATCTAAATTTAATTTGAAGTATTTAAAATTTATTTCAAATAATAAAATATTTATAAATTTGTTTAAAAATAAAATTTTAATTACTAATATTTTGCATCCCATCCCCGGACTCCCGCTTCAATATACCAAAAAGAATTCGCTTCTAAAATAAAAAGAGAGAGAGAGAGAACAGAAAAGGTTTCGGTCATGGACAGTGGTGGTGGAGGGGTCCGACTGGACCATTTGCTAAACATCTATTACCGATAAGACTCAGAGCGTTGTATGATAGTTGTTTGGAGAGGGACATGCCAAGGGGAGTCGAGCGGAGGGGGAAGAAGCCAAGAAAAAAAATAGAGAGTGCGCGCGTGTGTGTTCAACTGTGACAACTTTGAGTGAATTGCGGTAGAACTGGCGATCTACGCTGTTAGAGGTCGAAAGTGAGTTCTGCCACTAGTGCCAGTCCGTCGCCGGGATTGCTCCGAGTTGGAGACACTGTTGGCGGAGGGCTTTGGAGGCTGCACTGCAAGTGAATTTAGTCGTTTTCTGATTAAAGAAATCTTAAAAAATTACGTGTATGGTGTGTCTCTATTTTATATCCTCCATATCATATGTTCTCTACTGTGCTCTGTAGTGCTCCATAGTCCATTCTTTTTCTTATTTTTTAACCATGGAGTCGCAGCTGAGACCCGAAGGAACAGCAGATTGGTGAGAGAGAGCTCGTGCGGGCATTGTGTTGTGTGTGTGTGTGGAGCACATCTAATTCGAGAGAAAAAAAGGGGGAGTGGGGGAGGAAGAAGGGTGGTTTCTGAAGAATGAAACTGCTTGCTGTCAGGAGCAGAGCAACAAATCTGAGACTAAGAACCGTATTAGCACCGCCGCCGCCGCCGCCAGCTGCCGGTTGTGAAGACGATGGGTAACTGTGGGACTAGAGAAGAGTCTGCTGCTGTTGTATCCCATGCGCATCATCAGGGTACATTCTCTTTTGCCTAATTCATGTAGTGTTGAGTACGCATTGCTTCCAGATCTAAGCTCTCTGTTCTCCCTTATCTTGATTAGACGCATTTGCTTGTTTTTAATGTGATTAATCTGGATTATTACGTCAAATTGAGTTAGGGTTTTTCATTCTTTTGTCTTTGTGATTGAGGCAGTGCAACAGCTCCAGAGGTTATCGCTGCCAGATGGAAATGGTGCGCCAGAGAAGAAACACTATCGTTCTACTTCAGATCTGAGCGATCCTTCAACCCCGCGAATCATTGAGGACTCGAGGAAGAACGCAGGCCTATACACCCATGTCATTGCGTTTACGCTATTTGAGCTTGAGACCATTACCAAGAGCTTTCGTTCTGACTACATTCTAGGCGAGGGAGGTTTTGGAACCGTGTATAAGGGTTACATAGACGAGAATGTGAGGGTTGGCCTCAAATCTCTCCCCGTTGCTGTCAAGGTTCTCAACAAGGAGGGTCTTCAGGGCCACAGAGAATGGCTTGTGAGTATTTTACGGATTCTTAATATATTTTCGATCTGTTCCAAGTCAATAATTTCCCTTACTTGGCCTGCTTTTTTGCTCAATTGACTATATATTTCCCGCTGTAGACGGAGGTTAACTTCCTTGGGCAGCTTAGGCATCCTAATCTGGTGAAATTGATTGGATATTGCTGTGAGGATGAGCACAGATTACTTGTTTATGAGTTCATGTTCCGAGGAAGCCTTGAGAATCATTTGTTTCGAAGTATGATTACGTACCTTATCTCTTGATTTGTTTTTCTAACTCGTTCTTCGGTTCTTTCAGTTTGCCTTTTCTTTCATTTTGGTTCTTGGCTATTGCATCTGTAAATTTCTAGGTTATTTTTATATATTATCTATTGCCAGTGGTTGAACACTGAAGTATTTACTTTCAATTCCATAAACCTACCTTATATTCTGTAGCTGCGCATCTGGAATGTTGCCATGTGCTGACAGTGGGTAACGGCATTCAAGTAGGATGTCCAACTGAGAGCTATTTTTGTTTTGATACATCAGAAATAAGGGGTGCAAGAATTGAACAGTGAGGCTTGAACTCCAACTTCCCACAAGGGAGGTGGAATGCTGAATAGTGACTACTGGGGAAGATTTTAGGCCTATAGCTAGTCTGACCTAGCATATTTTGTTAACAAAGCCTTAGATACAGAACCTCAGCTTTTCTGACACATGAATGATAATGTGCTGAACTGCTTTAGTACAATTTGTTGAAGTAGTACCCTTTGCCACCCACAAACTGTTAGTTGGAATCATGCATGCTAGGATGCTTCTATACTGAAAACAGAATGATGATTACGAAAAATAGAAGTATGTGCCCAATAATGTTGGATTACTAAGATTATATATATCGTTTCAAGTGTCACATGTCCGACAAAGATGAATTGTTTTCTATCAATTTTGGGGAAGAACTGTTCCACACCATAATGAATTATGAACCTAATAATTTGAGCCATTTTTAAATTTCATTAGTGTTGGAACTCGGTGGAAAGTTACAAGATAAACGTACAAATCAAATACTGCATATCCAGGGAGATGTCTGGCAGATCTCCGTATCAAAGGGGTGGAGCCAAAATTTTTAGACTGGAGAGGCCAAACACAAGGGTAATAATGAAATTAATTTTATGTTTAGGATATGTTTTTCCAAAAAATAAAATACAAATTGTGAGAAATCTAAAATAATGAAGTTTTTTTTTTAATTTATTTCTTTTTTCTTGGGTGTTGTTTTGGGGGGGAGGGGAGGGGGTGAGAGGGGAAAGGCCCCATCAAGAGGTAATGTGGTTGTGTCACTATCCACATCAATAATTAGGAGGGACACGCGCACACACACACACGCACAAACACACACACACACACTCGTTTATGAAATATGGAGTGCTCTCTGTCTTTCAGTTTCCTACCTAAAAAAACTGCAGTTTCCACAAAGAAGAAACTTTTGACAAGGAGATTACACTAACCTCAATATTTTAATATGGGAATGAGTTTATTGTTTGCATTAACTTTAACTGATGGCATTTTAGAAGGATAAAAAATGGAAAGTTTCAGGAATGTATGAAATTCATATTGAGAAATAGATGTGTTTAAGAGATGAATGTGTGTGTTGTTGACAAAAACTTTCAAGGAGATTATACTAACTACAAAAGTGTTGGGGAAGTCGATGAAAATATCTGAATATGGAGTGAGATATTATAAGGGTACTAGGGTTGGAGTTTTTTTTTTTTTTTTTTTTTTTTTTTTTTGGGGGGGGGGGGGGAGTAAACAAGGGTTGGAGTTTTAAATGATATGAGCTTTACGCATATATTTGATACCACAGGATCTAGAAATATGCATCAAAGTTATGAAAGTTATAAATAGAATTATGTACATATTGGGAATTAAGGTGGGTGCAATTTGAAGATCTTTATTAGGCTCTTATATTATTGTATTGGTAATGGAAGATCGTGTAGAAATGTGTAAGATGGAGCCTTCACATGGAACTTGGATAATTAGGGCGAAAATCAGATATGTGGAATAAGCTTGAGTAAAGAGCAAGCTTCAAACTAGGAAGTTAGTGTACCAAAAACTATCAAATATTTAGGTTTTAGTTATACATGTGAGGGAAGATTGTTGTTGCTGTTAGCAGGAATGAGTATAAATTTCATAAAAGAGCTGGTAGCATATTTCAAAAGCACCAAGAGGAAAAAGAGAATGATGAATAGTGGCCAAACTGAGTGAAGAATATAAAAACCTGGTAGAAAGAGAGAAAATACGGATTGATCTGTGGCAACCTGATAGAAAGGAAGGAAATGGAGATTGATGGCTCATTGTTTAGGAAGAGATAATTTATATTTCTGAGGATGCATTATTGAAGGCATACTTTGCTGGTGCTTGTAACATGAAACACTTGGCTGCTTTAGCAAGAAGATGGGAAAGGTTTCTTGTTTTGGTGCTATGGCATCATCTCTATCCTAGCTACTTAGCCACTCTGAGCATCATATAGCAGTGAAGTTTGACCATGGCCTGGCTTGTATGTTATGATGGGACCTTAAGCAATTGGACATGTGAAGTCCTAGAAAGTTCAATGGCACGCTTGTGGATGCAAGACTAAGAGGTACAAGAAACATCGAAGTTCTTGAGTTTATGCCTTTATAAATGATTAAAAACATGGTCCATGCGTGGCCATTAATAGCGGCAGAAAGTATGTCTGCTTTCCAATATGTAAAGCTGATGGTATTAGATCCCAATATTAAAGTGCATGTACGAGGGGTTTGAGGTGTTTGTTTCTCACTTGGCTTCTCAAAAACAATCTTTTCAGGCTTAATGGGCTCTGGGTTCTTATCTGTTGCTGTTGTACAGTGTTAGTTCCTTTGCTTGACCCTGCCAGGCTTAGCAGCAGCTTCTTGTGCTTGCTCTTTTGCGAGATGCTAATGTATAAGTTCAATATTGATGTAAAAGCATTTAAAATGTTATCCATAAAGTCAAGGGTAAATTACATTTAGCTGCTCTTAATTTCACTTTGTCCCTAAGCTTTCAGTTATTATAGTTAACACCTCTACTTCAACTTACATTCCAAGGTGGCCTTTTCTTCCATCACCTTAACCGAGGTGAAGATTGAACTAAAATTTTGTGGGAATAAACTGAGACTACTGTTTAAAGTTTAAAATGCAGGGCTTAAAGTGATGCTTGTTTTGAAGTGGAAAGGCAAAATGTAACTTTTTCTTTTGGTTCAGATTTTTGATAGAATCCATCAATAGTAGATTAATATTACATACGGGCAGAAGTGACTATAATTAGGAGCAAAGTGAACCAAGGGTGCTAGGTATAATTTATCAAAAATTTAATTTGAGTAACTGAACAAAAATAGCAGTTACTCTTTAATATGAGAATGCTATAAAGGAGACTTGATCTGCTGTGGCTCATTAAGCTGCTAAATAATTACATGAGTTGTAGGTTGAAGAGAGGAATCACTATGATAGGTTGAAACTGAAAAAAAATTTAATATTTAGACTTGAGTTTGGTTCTTTGTGCCACAGGTCAAACCCATGTGAAAGGTTTGGATAATTTGCTGTTCTTGGTTATAGTTTGAATGGGTATTACATGCCTCATTATTTTGATATAAACCTAAACATGTAGATTCAGTTAATATGTATACATGATATGGATGCATTCTGTCCCCCACCTCCACCAACCCCCCCCCCCCCCCAAAAAAAAAAATAAAATAAAATAAAAAAAACACAAACATGCACACCCACACCCACCCACCCAAATCTTTTCCTTTGTGTTGGTGATGGATGAAATAATTGAGACTGAAAGTTTAGTGATTTACCATACTGTTCTATAAAGCTGTAAGTTTCCAGTCAATGCATGGATAATCTTTTACTTTGATGTGGTCTTTCTTGAGATATGCAGAGGCAACTGTTCCATTGTCTTGGTCTACAAGAATGATGATTGCTCTTGGGGCAGCAAAAGGGCTTGCTTTCCTCCACAATGCGGAAAGGCCTGTTATTTATCGAGACTTCAAGACATCTAATATATTGTTAGACTCTGTGAGTGATGTTTATTTGATGTCTGCAAGAAATTTTTCTGTACCTACCTATATTTTTAATGGAGTGATCTTTCATTTAATACTTGGATCTGTCTACAATCCTGCAGGATTATACAGCCAAGCTTTCTGATTTTGGACTTGCAAAAGCCGGGCCACAAGGTGATGAGACCCACGTATCTACTCGTGTAATGGGTACCTATGGTTATGCTGCCCCTGAATATGTGATGACGGGTATGTTTATCCAACCTCTTAATTGCACAATCATGGGCATTGATTTTATTCATCAGCCTTGGGATAAAAAGTAGAAGTTACCACTACTACTGTCAAGGAATTGAAATGGATTCCTTTATATTTGAAGAAGCATTTAGAGAAAAAAAGGAAAAAATAAACGAGGAGGAAGAAAAAAATTGGTTATTGCTAATTCCATCAGTTATGAGGAATTGATCTCTGGGGGTTGGAATGTTAAGATGAAGCCCTATTTAGCTTTCTGCACTTTTTGAGTTCTGAGATCTCTGTTTGTGGTAGGCTTGGTAGAACAGTTCAGCAGCATGCTAGCTCTTGAAGGTTATCTTGTTTAAGAAGTGCAGACGCAACTCCAGCCACCATCTTTAGTGTTGGTATAGTGCAAGGCTTGAGTCCAATTTTAAAATTTCAGTGTATATGCTGCCTCAGATCTTGGATTGTTGCCATGCCTCTTTTGACAGATATCTTACTTTGTTGAGAGCTTTAAAGTAGTAGATAATAATCTGCTTCTAAGAAACTAATTTGACCAAGTTTGGGCTTGCTTCTTCTATGCTTGTTCTTTTCTGGAACAAGATTTAAAATCTTGGCTTGAGCTTGGTTAGCACCCGGCAAACTGGAAAGTGGACAGGGTTCATTGTCTAGTTGCACAATGTGGACATCTTAATCTGAGAGAACTTCATTTTATTCCCTATAATGTGAAAATTTGGCTTATAAAGTGCGCATCTGCCTGCAATTCTTCTTGTTCTGAATCAGGTTTATTATTTGAAATGAGCAGGACATCTAACTGCAAGGAGTGATGTGTACAGCTTTGGAGTTGTTCTTCTAGAGCTGTTAACAGGGAGAAAATCTGTTGACAAGACAAGGCCGAGCCGGGAGCAGAGCTTGGTGGATTGGGCGAGGCCAAAACTGAATGATAAGAGAAAATTATTGCAAATAATAGACCCCAGACTAGAAAACCAGTATTCAGTGAGGGCAGCACAGAAAGCATGCAGCTTGGCATACTACTGCCTAAGTCAAAACCCAAAAGCGAGGCCATTGATGAGTGATGTGGTTGAGACATTGGAGCCTCTACAAAGCAGCAAGATGGGCGCTGATGAAGTCTCCTCATCATCAACCCTTGGATTTGCAGATTATAATAGAATGCATCATCATAATCGCAGATATGATGGAAGAGTTGGTGCTGGGGCTGTTTGTCGGTCTCCCAACCCCAACTGTTCCCCTGGTGGTCCTGCTGCATGCCGGGTTAGATGAGAGATGATATAAATATATATATTCATGTTTGTTATATACTGGTTTAGGTGTATTTTTATAGTTATGTAATTTGGTTTTGCTTTTGTTTTGCGTTAACATGGATTCATTTGCTATTTGCTATTTGCTGTAAATGGTAATGTGATGATCCGGATACTGTGCAATTAGATTTTGTTTCTGACATGATGAATCGCCTTTGTAGAGGTTTGTGTTGTTTTTAAGTTCAACCTTTCTCGGTCACTACCTAGCTCATGCTTAATACCATCAAATTTGCCAGATTTCAGGACGATCAAAGATTCTAAACCACATAGTACTTAGTGATGGTTATGTCTGGGTTACTTCTTGATTGGCAATTAACTAGAAAGGATTTCAACATTCACAATATGCAAAATAAAATGTATGATCCACAACTTCCACTCATGAAAATTGTTTGCTTGGATGTTCTGTTTAATAAATAAATATTTTACTAAGATTTATCTTTTATTATTTAGGAAATTATAAATAATTTTTATATTGTTATAAATAAAAATAGAACATGTACATTCAAGTTGAAAAGTATGAGATTATGACAAATTTTGGTAAAATTGAAACGGATGGTGACCCTACATTTAGGACAATTGGGCTCTCTTGTTTGTATTAACCGCCCGTGACAAAATTTCCCATCCCATCTCTTCCCCCAATCTTTTGATTTTTACTACAAAATTCACTTTTCTCCATGCCACAGTGGCTCCCATGACTTTCCACCACACAAATTATACCCAAAAAAATCTCCATCTCTCTCTCTCTCTCTCTCTCTCTCTCTCTCCGTTTATCTGCAAAATTTTCCCAGGAAAATCATGAACTCACTCCCAGTCAACCATGCCGGAACTTTCTCGGTGCTATTTCTCCTCCTCATCGCCCTGCTCAGTTTCAGTCCAGGTGATACATACACTAAACATTATGATTGTTATTTAATTATTAAAATATATATTATGTTTATGTACTTAATTTTTCAGTTTTACAAGTCCAAAAATTCTGGTACTAGAACTTCTCTGATTCTTCTGATCTTCTAGCAAGCTTTAACAGTCTGATTTTTCTAGAATTTTGGAATTAAAAAGGGGAATAAATAGGCTCAAAAGAATAGATCATTAGCATAAACTGTAATTCTTTTGCATGAAGGGGGATGCGGGCAGCTGAGGCTGAGGCTGGAGTTGAAGAGGGGAAGCTGAAAATGATGAAGCCAGTGGTGGATGGGCCAATTGATTACAGGATTATGGGTCTTGATGACCTACTTATAGGTGACAACAGCAATTATTATTACTTGATTAGTAATAATTATAATAATAACGGTGGCACGAGGAGGAGGCTGGCACCTTTTCAGGTGTGCTTGGTTTGCAATGCTGCGTATCCCCTTCAAATCCCTCCACCTGTGCTTCCATGCCTTGCTGCTTTGGCATCGATTGCCACCTTCCAAACAAGCCCTTTGGTGTTTGCGCTTTCTTCCCAAGTCCTGCACCTGTAACTCCTGTGCGGTATAGGAATTTATATGGTCTTCTCACTTTATAAGTTTATACATAGATTGATATAAAAATTTGAAAACTAATTAGGATATTGTAAATTTTAAGAAGTCAACATTAGTAATAATAATTTATTTGCTATTTATGTAATAATTTATTTGTAAAGAAAAAAAAAACAGATTGATGGATGGATAAATTGATGAACTTGAATTAGCTTGCTAGGCTATAGTTGTAAATATATGGTGATTACAGTCACCAAATTGTAAAATTATCTACATCTATCTATCTTTTACATGATGAAAGCTTTTGGGTTGATGGTAGGATTAATTAATGAATTAATAAAATATAAAAAAATTAAACATGTAAAAAATTCCAATTACAAGGAGATAAGGCAGAAACCTGAAAGGCACACTCACCAGATTAAAAAATAAAGACAACCAAGTCAAAACTTAGAGTGGGAAGACCACCTAGCCATTGGGATAGGACTTCAGTTCAAGATAAAACAATGTTATATGTTGTGTTTTTATCTATTTATTTTTGATTTAAAAAATTAAGAAGTGGGAGTAGGGCTTTATTTTTGTAAATGTAAACAAAAGAAGTAGAAATTTTACCAAATAATGTCTAAAAATTTCACACCAAATGAATTAAAGGCCCGTTGGGTAGTCTTGAAAAGCTCGGATAGAAATAAAAAAGTTAATAAATCTCTTGCTATATTTACTTATCTCTCATGTTTAGTATATGCGAGAAATTTGAATAAAATTTTGAATAGTATATATTCTCACTGGCTCAAATAAGCTATACAGGGGAGGAGAAGGAAGATAAACTTATCCCTTTTATTCTAAGTTTTAAGTTTTGTGTCTTAATGATATTATTTTTACTATTCACAAAATAAATTATTAAAATTTTGACATTGTGTAAATTGTACGTACTGTGTCAAATTGACCTTTATTGTCATCATCTTCTCTGTGTGATTTCATATAAGAAGAACTTCAATTTCTTTGCTTAAACCTTCATATTCTTTTGCCAGTTCTTTGTGGGATTAATCTTAGACCTTCAACCTTCATCTCTGTCTTCTTCGTGCATATAATTGTCTTCCCTATGATTTCCCTATATAATCAACCTTTGTCTTGGTCATCATCATCTTCTTCTTCATGTACAAATCTTCATATTCTTCTGTACTTTCTCTATGTGATCGACCTCCAGTCTACTTTTTCATCTTTCACATGCACAAAAATCATAAAAACAACCGATGCCCTTGTGTTCATCATCTTTTCAACTTGCGATTCTTTATCTTTATCTTTTTGGCCTATAGATTTACGAATTCGTTGTTGTCTTTGTCTTTCTCATGCATAGAAATTGCAAAAATAGTGGGCTCCTTTACCTCTTCATCTTCTCGATGTGATTCTTATTTATAATTTGATATAAAAATTTCAAAAGTTAAATTAGGATATTGTAATTTTTGACTGCAATAATTTTTTAAGCTGACAAAAGTAAGTATATAAATTTAAAAAAATTAAACATTAATAATAATATATTATCACAGTTATTTGCTATTTATATACTAATTTATTTGTAAAGAAAAAAAACAGATTGATGGATGGATAAATTGATGAACTTGCATTACCTTTCTAGTCTATTGTTGAAAATATATAGTCATTACAACCATCAAATTGTTAAATTATCTCTATCTATCTATCCTTTACATGAATGTGTTTGAGTTGATGGTAATGCTATGATGTAACAATCGAGACCACCACCCGTTGTAAGATATTGTCCGCTTTGCTGGGCTGCAAGCTCAGTAAAGCGGACAATATCTTGCAACGGTGGTGGCCTTGGTTGTTACAGATGGGATTAGAGCTAGGACCAGGCAGGTGTGCCAGCGAGGACGCTGGACTCCAAGGGGGTGGATTGTGAGATCTTATATTGATTGGGGAGGTGAATGAAGCATGCCTTAAGAGGGGTGTGGATACCTTTCCTTGCAAGACCGTTCTCTCTCTGTTGAGGGGAGAAAAACAAAACTGTGAGGCTGTGGGACGGGCCTACCATGAGGGGTAATGACGCAGCCCAGTAAAGCGGACAATATCTTGCAACGGTGGTAACCTGAGCTTAACATATGATTAATTAATTACTAAATAAAATACAAAAAAAATTAAACATGAAAAAAATTCCCAATTACAAGAAAATAAACAAATATTA